AGCCAATCACATTGCAAGGATAACCAGTGATTTAATAAATAAAGAAAAAACGTCTTTAATTATGTTCCAATACATTTTCGTCCCAACGTCACATATGTGTGACGATAAATGCGGCTGACCGATGCTGAGCCCGCTAGGGGTGAAATACTTGATTGCAATAGCCCCCCTCTGCCTCATTTGAAGCCTGGCGATTTTTGTCGGTTTCTTCGGTGTTTTTCATGTGAATTTGCCTGCTTTTGACCGAAAAAATTGCGATTCTTTTCTGTTCGAGTTTTCGCGCGAAGTTCAGGAACAGCTGATCAGTAATGGCTTCAACTTCTGGAAGTGAATTTGTAGTAAATTCGGCTGCAGAGACTTCTCAAAACGTGGATTTAGTGTTCGTAGACGAAGATGAAATGCCATTGACTTCTGTAGCTATAGGCACGGCATATTTAGAGCGAGAGTCTGACGAGGAAATTGACTCAGACTTTTATCAGACTGACTCTGACGAGGAAATTGACTCAGACTTTTATCAGACTGACTCTGAGGCTGAAGAAAGTGACGAAAATGAAGAATTACAACAAGCAGGGCCTCCCAGGAAGCGGAGACGTACAGCACAGGGCGAAAACGATGTTGTGGGCGATCCTGTTTGGGTAGAAGACATCAGGACGCATTCAGACCTGCCTTTCACCCAACCCACGGGGCCTAAAGTTCGAATGGGAGCGGATCAAAAAGACCCAGTGAGTTATTTTTGTCTGTTTTTTATTGATGCCTTGCTTGATCTAGTTGTGACACAAACAAATTTGTATGCTGCCCAAGAGAGAGCCAAAACCCCGGATAAACACCGTATGCCTTGGCACGCAGTGGACAAAGATGAAATAAGAACATTTATTGCCTTGATTTTAGCAATGGGGCTGGTAAACAAACCTACCATACATAGTTACTGGTCCACTGATGAGATACTTCAAACACCATTCTTCACAAATTGCATGTCAAGGAATCGGTTTACACAAATTTTGAGGTATATACATTTTGTGAACAATACACAATTAATTCCTAGAGGTCAAGATGGATATGACAAACTGGGGAAAATTAGGCCCTTCTTAGAACTAATTAAAAACCGGTTCCAAAGAGTTTATGCCCCAAGCAGGAACCTGTCAGTGGATGAAACCCTTGTGAAGTTTAAAGGACGCCTTTCATGGAGGCAGTATATGAGGGACAAACCAGCAAGATTTGGCCTCAAGGAATTTACTTTGGCTGACTCTGAAAATGGCTATGTGTTAGACATAATTGTTTATACAGGCAAGGAATGTGGACAACAGTCTAAAGGTTTAGCTCAAAGAGTTGTTTTGAAACTTGTGGAACCATTTTATGGACTAGGATACAATATATTTATGGATAATTACTACACCTCAGTTCAACTTTTTGAGAAACTTTATGATCAGGGTCTTCAAGCCTGTGGAACATGTCGGGGGGATCGGATCGGTCTTCCTCGAGATGTAACAACATCGACCTCTGCTACTGTAAAGAGGATGAAACGTGGTGAAGCAATTTTTCGGCAAAAACATCACCTCACTTGTGTGACATGGAAAGACAGAAAACCTGTGACTATTCTGACAACTTTACCAGCTAATGAAGAAATGGGAGTTGCTGAAAGGTCAGTGCGAGAAGCAAACGTCTGGCATAGGAGNGAAATTGACTCAGACTTTTATCAGACTGACTCTGACGAGGAAATTGACTCAGACTTTTATCAGACTGACTCTGAGGCTGAAGAAAGTGACGAAAATGAAGAATTACAACAAGCAGGGCCTCCCAGGAAGCGGAGACGTACAGCACAGGGCGAAAACGATGTTGTGGGCGATCCTGTTTGGGTAGAAGACATCAGGACGCATTCAGACCTGCCTTTCACCCAACCCACGGGGCCTAAAGTTCGAATGGGAGCGGATCAAAAAGACCCAGTGAGTTATTTTTGTCTGTTTTTTATTGATGCCTTGCTTGATCTAGTTGTGACACAAACAAATTTGTATGCTGCCCAAGAGAGAGCCAAAACCCCGGATAAACACCGTATGCCTTGGCACGCAGTGGACAAAGATGAAATAAGAACATTTATTGCCTTGATTTTAGCAATGGGGCTGGTAAACAAACCTACCATACATAGTTACTGGTCCACTGATGAGATACTTCAAACACCATTCTTCACAAATTGCATGTCAAGGAATCGGTTTACACAAATTTTGAGGTATATACATTTTGTGAACAATACACAATTAATTCCTAGAGGTCAAGATGGATATGACAAACTGGGGAAAATTAGGCCCTTCTTAGAACTAATTAAAAACCGGTTCCAAAGAGTTTATGCCCCAAGCAGGAACCTGTCAGTGGATGAAACCCTTGTGAAGTTTAAAGGACGCCTTTCATGGAGGCAGTATATGAGGGACAAACCAGCAAGATTTGGCCTCAAGGAATTTACTTTGGCTGACTCTGAAAATGGCTATGTGTTAGACATAATTGTTTATACAGGCAAGGAATGTGGACAACAGTCTAAAGGTTTAGCTCAAAGAGTTGTTTTGAAACTTGTGGAACCATTTTATGGACTAGGATACAATATATTTATGGATAATTACTACACCTCAGTTCAACTTTTTGAGAAGCTTTATGATCAGGGTCTTCAAGCCTGTGGAACATGTCGGGGGGATCGGATCGGTCTTCCTCGAGATGTAACAACATCGACCTCTGCTACTGTAAAGAGGATGAAACGTGGTGAAGCAATTTTTCGGCAAAAACATCACCTCACTTGTGTGACATGGAAAGACAGAAAACCTGTGACTATTCTGACAACTTTACCAGCTAATGAAGAAATGGGAGTTGCTGAAAGGTCAGTGCGAGAAGCAAACGTCTGGCATAGGAGAGACTTTGCCTGTCCCATACCAGTGCAACAATACAATTTACACATGGGTGGTGTTGATGTTGCAGACCAGAGGACAACTGCCTATGCAAGGCTCATGAAAGGCTGGACATGGTATCTAAAACTCTTCTATCATTTCTTGGAGGTGTCAGTTTTGAATGCATATCTTGTTTACTGCAAGGGAAAAGATGATGATCAACCAGATCTGAGCATGATGGATTTCCGGATTCTGGTAATCAGAGGTTTACATGGTGGAAGGAGCTACAAGATTACCCCCACAGCTGCTGCACCTCAAATATCAAGATTGAATCTGTCTTTGGGACACTTCCCAGTCAAAGTTGACAAACGGTGTGCTTGTAAAGTTCACCTGCAGCGAGTGTTGACTTCATACAAGTGTGGACTGTGTGGAGTCCACATGTGCCCCAGCCCTTGTTTTGAGAAGTACCACACCCTCCAAGACTATTTGTATGATGACCCTGAATATGGAGCAGCAACCCCACGTCTGAAACCTCAGAATCCTGGCAGGCCTTTTGCTAGAGGAAGACCTAGGCAGACGAGGCAGTGAACTCTCCTATAAGTAGCGGAACATTGACCGTTGGTTGTCAAAAACTGTTCACTTTGCCAACAGCATACTGACATTGTAGCACTGGTATGTCCAACTCCATGCTTATAAGAGATATTATGTGGTGTTTCCTTGTTCAAAAAATTATGTTTTCTGATTGTTTATTCTACAAATGTATGTACCCATAATTCATGGGATTATGGACTTGACTGTTTCTTTTGATTGGTTAATCATTAACCTGCAGATATTTGAAAAACTTGGGGAAGGCAGTTATGCTCAGAAAGGTTGTTTGGATCAGTCTGGTAAAAAATAATACCTTATGAGATTTAAGTTGCTGTTAAATCCTCAGTTGATTAATTTTTTAAATGATTTATAGAATTAAAATTTACGATGAAAATTGCCTTACTGTTTGAGGGCCGTAAGAAGCTTTTTTTAGATCAATATAACAAATATTTGTGATTTATCTTAAAGGTCATTTCTTTAGCTTAACAAAAATGACTATTGTTATTATTTGACAGTTCTTTTTGGTTTCAGAGCTGAATTCTTGTGAACGAAGGATTTTTTTAGTGTATTTTTACTGTCATATGTCAACTTTGAGGATAAAGTGAGAAACTTACATAACAAGGGACAGGCAAATTTTGTTGGTTCACTGTGTAGAAAATTCTCTAAACTTCAAAATGAGCTATGATATATGAAAATTGACTAAATGTAGCTCAACTTACAACCATTTATTCACGGTGTTGTCTTTTTTGCGAAAATTAATTACCATACCCATGGGAGGAAAAGGGTTAATAACATGCTTCTAGTGATATTTAATAATTTATTCACACTGAATAAGGATTTACACAGGCATAATACAAGAGCATCAGACAAAATACTCAATAAAATCTACATGTAAAGGCTGCAGTCAGATCTGGAATATTCTTCCAATAACTATCAACAATTGTAAATCAACTCAAAGTTCTAAGAGGAGAAGTAGAAAACACCTTTATGAATTAATTGATAGGAATTAAATATTCTTTGTAGAGAAGTAATTTAGTTTAGTGATAGGCAGTTTCATGTGATATAGAGTGTTTAATAAGTTTGTGCAAACACTCCAACAGGTAAAAATTTTTACAAATAAACAAAAATCTCAGTAATGTGCAAATTATCTACTTAAAAAGAAATATTTCATTCAACAAAACAAATTGAAAAGAATAAAAGCTGCCTTGTGTTTTTAAGATTTTAATAAAATCTTCATTTGGTTGAATTCAAATTCAGGGTCGGAGGGCTACTAATTCAAAATAAATTCGAGAGAAAAACGAGATTACCTTCTAAGAGTTCAATCTTGGTAAATAAGATAATTTTCGGCTGGTTTTAACCGCAAAAAATCATCAAGAAGTTGAAAACAAAACGCGAAATTATCGGCGTGCCTATAAGAAGACTGGAGTCTACCCTAGTACCTAGGCCTTTAGCGATATACCAAATATGGAAACAGGCAGCTGGAGGCCACGTTCCTTGACGACCAGGTTCAAGAATGTGTTCTGTGCAAATCCGAAGTTAACTGTATTAGGAAATATTTTTAAACAGATTTGATAAATAGTAAGTTCAATACACTTAAAAAATAGTGACAGTCTTCGATCGAACTGGCTCTTGTCTTTGATTGAATCGACTTTATCGATGGAAACGAGCTTCGATCGAAACAACCTTCGATCGAACTGACTTGCATTCGACGCCGGTGCAAGGGGCCATCTTGAAAGTTTGGTTGTCCCCAACTATGGCGGCCTCGTATGACGTAACGATTTGTAGTCACGTGGTTGAAAGATGAGCCAAGTCGAATGTTTTTTCCCGCCCCCTTCATTGATCATGTTACCGTGTTGATCCGTCAAATTTCTTAGCCACGCAGCGTTGAAGTGTACATTTTCAACTGGAAAAAAATTGGTAAGTAATGGTAATTCTGTAAATACTCTTTTTGTTTCAGAGCTGCAGTTGTTTTATGGTCAGATCTTTAGACTGTAGTACGATCATCACTGAGCATAAATTATATCAGCTTGGTTTATGCGTGCGAAAACCTTCGAATTCATAAGGCCTCTTTTGAAGACCTAAAAAATATTCCCCATGAAATCTACCTGGTCTTCTTTTGCGGATTTCATGCACATTTAGGGACAGCTGTTGAAAGCTAGATTTTATCAGTAGAAAGCTCTTACATTCTTCATCTAGAAACGGTGAAATGAAAACTCGAAAAACTCGATCGAAGGTTCATTCAGAGTGATTTGAAATAATTACAGGGGGTAAGTTTCTAAAGAAACTGTGGTGCTTTGACGGTGGGGGTAACGAGGTAATTTGGTTGTACCAACTAAATTGAATTTGTAAATTGGCCATCGTAAAGGGTGAGAAAGCTGACGTTTCGAGCGTTAGCCCTTCGCCTTCGCTCTGACGAAGGGCTAACGCTCGAAACGTCAGCTTACGGTTGCCAATTTACAAATTCAACTTAGCTGATTTCATAAAGTCGAGTCTAAATTCGACCGAACATGTAAACACATGGTTTATCGATAGATGGAAGGCGTAGGAGAAAGACATAATACCCAATTTTATCGGTTTTTAAATTCGAGCATTTGGGTTTGTCAGGATATATTGCATTTATTTACTTCTAACCGCAATTATGGCAAGGTAAACGGCTATCTGACAGGATAGATGTAAACAATCTCAGTGAAGTGGTGCTGGCAGACCCAATTATGAAAATTGTTTAGTTTGGACAAAAAATATGCGTGTTACTGTCGCAAAAATTCAAAAGGATTTAGGGAGTTGCGGCAAAAAGCGGTGTAAAATCCTTGTCTTTCAGTTGGTAAAGTGGGATTTTACGCTGTTCACTAACAGTGTAATTTCTTTTAGACGGTAATGTGTATATTGAAAGACTTTATGCACTGGACAAATTGACAGGCTGTGAAGAGTTCTTTGCCCAGCTGCTTTAAAAAGGTCAACCAAAAGAGCAGACTCTCAGGGTACTACCTCTCATGTATCCTATGATTAAGATGTATTTGACCTCAATTAAAGCAATGTCAACAATAATTTCTTACATCATCTTCAAAAAAGAATTACAAGAAGAAGTGAATTCAGCTAACCATGCAATGCAATAATTATTGTCCTTCTCTGAAATTCTATACATTGTGAGCAATATAGACCAGTAAAATTCGATCACGGAATATTTTTCTGCTCGACGCCATGAAATGTTGCTACTTTTGGAGAAGCTGATTTTTCCTCTAGAAATTATATTTTTGCATTCGCAGTTGAGGTAGTGGAGTATTCATTGTTAATATACATACGTTGGAATAAAAAGTACAATTGCGGCAAGGAGCTGGGCATGTGTGAGTGATGAAATAGGCACCACTCTCTGTTTCATAGATTGTTGCATTCAAGTCTTAAGTAAAGCCACAGAATATCTCATCATATTTTAAGAACATTGAAAAGCAATAAAAAAAGAGAACCCGATATATAGATATAGACATATATATATATACCGGGGTATATAAAGCCAAAGAATATCTCATCATATTTTAAAAACATTGAAAAGCACTAAAAAAAGAGAACCCGATATCTAGATATAGATATATAAACGTAAAAAACCTTATCCTTGAATCGGAGAGTGCTCTACAATCATGGAGTTTTGTAAACAATTATATAGGAAAATAAAAATTAAAACTTTGTACTAAAACTTCGCACTACAGATCTGTTTCAAAAGGGTTAAAAGTCCTCTCTCATCAGGTGCATAAGATACTAGTTGACTAACGATCCTTTTTTAAGTGGGTGGTTTGAGCATGCCTTATCAAATATTTAGTTGAGTGCTGCCACGCACTCGCCAGTTCATTCCTTTTGTTTAGGGTGCCCACCCCTGTTCTACATATGATAAAGAATTTTTCAGCTATGCAAAGATCGCATCTCTTTGTAGTATTTGAGTACGGCCTGGCGCGAGCTATTATTTTTCAGGTCACGGAAAACTCCGTGACCTGGGGCGGGCACCCTAAACAAAAGGAACGAACTGGTGAGTGCATGCCGGCACTCAACTAAATATTTGATAAGGCATGCTCAAACCACCTACTTAAAAAAGGATCATTAGTCAACTAGTATCTTATGCACCTGATGAGAGAGGACTTTTAACCCTTTCGAAACAGATCTGTAGTGCGAAGTTTTAATTTTTATTTTCCTATATAATTGTTTACAAACG